AACATATACATAACAAGAATACCAGAAGAAGAGAGAAAGGAACAGGGAAATATTTGAAAAAATAATGATTTAGAATTTCCCCCAAATTAATTTCAAACACTAAAGCATAGATCCAGGAAGCTCAGAGAACACAAAACCGGATAAATACAAAAAAATAAAAACCTACTCCTACAATATAAAGCTACAGAATATCAAAGATAAAAAACCCCAAAAGAGGGATTTCTCTGATGGTCCAGTGCCTAAGACTCCATGCTCCCAATGCAGGGAGCCCAGGTGTGATCCCTGGTCAGGGAACTAGATCCCAAATGTCACAGTTAAGAGTTTGCATGCTTCAACTCTGAGAGAAGGGAATGTCCACCCACTCCAATATTCTGGCCTGGAGAATTCCAGGGACAGAGAGGCCTGGCAGGCTAACGGCCACGGGATTGCAAAGAGTCAGACATGACTGAGCGACTAACACTTTCTCTTTTTCATGATTCAACTAAAGATTCCACATGCCACAATGAAGATTAAAGATCCCATGTGCCACAACTAAGACCCAGCAAAATAAATAAAGATAAATATTGTTTTTTTAAGCCTGAAAGAAGTCAGAGGAAAAAGACACTTTACCTATTGAGGAGCAAAGATAAGCCTGACATCCAGCTTCTCCTCAAAAGCCATGCAAGTAACAAGAGACGGAAATATTTTAAGTAATGAGAGAAAAAACGTACCAACCTAGAAATTTGTATCCTGCAAAATTACCCTTCAAAAGTGAAGGCAAAATAAAGACTTTCCAGACAAACAAAAATTGAGGAAACCTGTTACCAGTAGATCTACCTTGCAAGAAAGGTTAAACGTTCTTTTAAGACAAGGAAAATTATATAGGTCAGAAACTCAGATCTATATAAAGAAAGGAAGTGTGTGTGTGTGTGTGTGTGTGTGTGCACGCGCGTGCTCATCTTTGTATGATTGCCTCTATGTTTTTCCCAGCAAAAAGTTCACATATATCCTGGCTTCTCCCTTACCTCTTTGGAGCAGTACTTCAGAGCTTTCTGAGAGATCATCTCCCATGCTATAGTCCTTAGTAAGTTCCAGGAATAAAACTGAACTGGTAACTCTTACGTCGTGCATTTTTTTTTTTTTTTTCTAAGTTGACAGTGCTGAGTTGTGGGGACCTGGGAGGAGGGATTTGAGGCTCAGCTGCCAGGCAGTGCCCGGACAAATGCAGGAACTATGGATGAGGAGGACCAGGTTGGGGTGAGGCAAATTCAGCCCGAGGTTCAGGGATGAGGGGAGGCGGGCATGTAGGGGAGGGGAGCGGTTTCGGGGTTGTGGAAAACACGCTGGTGTGCGGATGTGAGGAATGAGAAGGCCTTTCCCCTCTAGGTAGCTGGGAAAAGTGGGACAGGAACTGCGCATCCAGGAGACTAGCTAAGAGGCTCCAAGTCGGGGCTGGGCCGCCAGGGGGCACACGCAAACTGAGCCAGGCTGCGGGCGAGAGGCCGGGCCAGCAGGAGAGGGGCGGGTCAGGGGGCGGGGCTTGGAGCCCAGGGAGCCCCAGCCGTGGGAGAGTGCGGTCCGGGGAGGACCCGATCTGTGCTTTTCTCAACGCTCCGCAGCCAAAGCCCGCACGTTAAGGCGGTGACCCCCACCCCCAGCTCCCTTCTCTGCAGCTGCCTCCGCCTCTAGACAAAACTCTCCTTTTTCTCCTGACAAAAACAGAATTTTGGTATGGGAAAACATCTACCAGCTTCTGGACCTTTCTGGGCAGAGTTCTTCTGGGGTTTATTACGGAGAGGGATGGAGGAGGAAATGGCAACCCACTCCAGTATTCTTGCCTGGAGAATCCCAGGGACAGAGGAGCCTGGCCAGCTACAGTCCATAGCGTCTCAAAGAGTTGAGTTTTAGGCCAGCTTTTTAACTCTCCTCTTTCACCTTCATCAGGAGGCTGTGTGTAGCATCCCACAAATATGTTCTACAAGTTTGCCTGCCTGCCTCTCTGGCCGGGACTTGGTCACTGTTCTGCAGGGCACTGGGAATCCAAGAGCAAAGACCTCAGCCCAGGAGTGTGTGATGGGCTCCCACTCTAAGGAATCAGGGTGGGAGATGGGCGAGGCCACCGCACAGGCGGTACCTGATGTCAGGTCACTGCCAGGCCAGCTGATCAGGGCTCTAGATGGAGCGCAGGGAGAGACCACCCCCACCGCGCCCCCATCCACCAGGAGAAACAAGGAGGACATGGCAGTTGGACTGTCTTGAAGGTCAGCAAATCAGAGTGAAGAGAACAGAGAAATGAGCTCGAGCCAAAATGGCTTGGAAGATTATGGTCAGATCTTCCAACTTCATCTTAAATGAGCCAAGGAGAGGTTTAGAGTCAATTCTTTTTAAAGTGTGTGACACATCTGTGTGTGAGTGTGCATTATTTAAAGGCCAGAATGAAGCATTAGCACTGAGAAGGTTCTTTAGCAAACCATCTCAGGAGAGTTGGATGAAATAGTCCAAAACATTCCTGTATCCTGCACCTTCATTTCAAAAGATGATCTGTAATATTTTCACTGAGCTACACAACCACATTAACCTTGCTGTATAAACACCTCCAAAGTGTACTGTTTTCAGTCACTGCTCCCTTCTATTTTTCCTGAACTGCTTTCTCTTACTCCAGTTCTTAATTAGGACTTTTTTGCTGCTGCAAGAGTACTCCCTTGAATAACTATGTCTTCAAAAAGACGCATCCTTTCTGAGTTTTTGCAACTCTAAAAAAAAAAGTCTTTTTGTTGGCTTTATTAAAGACAGCAGTTTGGCCAGGCAGAGAATATTAATACTTAGGTCACAAAGTTTCCTCCCAGAGCTTTATATAACTTCTCAACTTCTGTTAACTTAATGGATCATAAAATCCTGCAGTCAAAAAAAATTTAAGCCACCTGAATATGCAGGCACCCAAGACTAGTTAAATCCATCAGGGGGCAACCAGTCAATGGAATACTCTCCAAAAAAAAGAACAAGGGGATACATGTATATGTATGGCTGAGTCCTTCAGTGTTCACCTGACTCTATCACAACATTGTTAATCAGCTATCAGCTCAGTTCAGTCGCTCAGTCGTTCCCGACTCTTTGCGACCCCATGGACTGCAGCACCCCAGACCTCCCTGTTCATCACCAACTCCCGGAGTTTACTCAGATTCATGTCCATCAAGTCGGTGATGCCATCCAACCATCTCATCCTCTGTCGTCCCCTTCTCTTCCCGCCCTCATTCTTTCCCAGCATCAGGGTCTTTTCAAATGACTCAGCTCTTTGTATCAGGTGGCCAAAGTATTGGGGTTTCATCTTCATCATCAGTCCTTCCAACGAATATTCAGGACTGATTTCCTTTAGGATGGACTGGTTGGATCTCCTTGCAGTCCAAGGGACTCTCAAGAATCTTCTCCAACACCACAGTTCAAAAGCATCAATTCTTCGGTGCTCAGCTTTCTTTATAGTTCAACTCTCTAATCAGCTATACCCCAATACAAAATAAAAGGTTTAAAAAAAAAAAAACAAGAAAGCTGTTTATTAATACAGAAAGAAAAATTTTTAAACCAATTGCAGAAGAGGTCTAAGGTATCCTTCCATTTATGTTAAAACAAAAAAGGGAAGGATCAGAATACACTTGTGGGTATGTGCATAAAATACCTCTTACATGATACAGAAGGAACTAGAAACATTTGTTGTCTCTGTAGAGGGAAAAGGGGTAGTTGGGGAGGCAGGGGTGCTACAGAGACTGCTAACTGGAAAAAAAAATCAAAGAAAACACTTTTCATATCTATTGAATTTGATCTTGGAGATATTCTATGGACAACAGAAGTAAAACACAACTCCTATGACCTTCTCTAATTTTACTTAAAAATCAGAATAACTATCACAAATAAGTTAAACAAAGCACTGGTATACTTGTATACCAGTATACAAGTATACCAAAGCACTGGTATTCTTGTCAAGCAGATTTCCCCATGGAGATCCCAATGCACCCTTGCAGGGGGCTGCTGACTAAGGTAGTCAGCCATTCAACAGATCCAATTGTGGACTTGGCTCCAAGATCCTCTGACAGTTGCAGAAACCTCCACCTCAATTTGATCCCAGGCTTTTCCATCTGTCTGGGGACAGCATTGCTCCTGTTCATGCAGTTCAGGCATTGGCCCCCTGTAGATTATATGTCCCTCCAATCTTGCATTGAACTTGACCATCTCTTTACACATGAGCACTCCATTCTTTCTTCACCCCAGAGACATTTCCTTATTTCCTTCTCTATTTCCCCCACCTGATCCCCACCCCACCCCCAACACCTCTTATATATGTAGGGTTGACCAGAAAGTTCCTTCAGCTTTTTCTGTAACTTTTTATGGAAAAACCCAAACAAACTTTCTGGCCAACCCCACGTATTGACTTTTCTGCATCTCCCCTGCATTCCTCCTTACTTTTCTCTCATATTTATTGTTCCTTTATACTTTTTCTCAGAGAATCCCCTGTGCTTATTTTCTAATTTTGTTTCAGTTCTCTGATCTGATTTTTAAAACCTCCGTGGAGGATTTTGGCTTTGAAAATCCTCTTTTTCACTCCCAAGAATTCTCCCTGTTCTGTTCACAGATTATTTCCTCTTCCCAGCCAACAGCCTTCTTTTCTAGCAACGCATTGTCTCTCAACTATCACTTAGAATACACGGTCGTGTTGTTGGGTTTTTATTACTGCATTCTGTTGTTATTTTCTGTTGCTTCTAGTGCTGTTTCATGGGGGACGGGGCTCGTTCAGTCCTCCGAGGGCATGCACTTGGGAGTGTCCCATGGGGACATTTGAGGGGCTCAGGCAGAGTCCCACAGTGTCTGGGTTGAGTCGGGTCCTCTTCCCAGGATGGTTTCCTGAGCTCTCCGGCCTCTCCTCCAGCTGCCGCACTGCAGGCGCCTGGTCCTCTAGGTCTCCTTACTGCTCTTGCGCTCTCACCCACGATTGGGAGCAAGCCACAGCCCCTCCCCTTGGGGGCGGTCCTTACCTTGGAGAGGGGCTCCTGGTCACCCCATGACACCTTCTGGGCCATCCAGGGCATCCAAAGAGAATCGGGCGGTGGCGATTCATCGCCTATGGCCAGGGGGTTAAGCGTGGGCAGCAGCCGGCCGCGCCGCGCCTGCAAGAGCGATAGCCTGAAGCGGCCACAGGCCCTGACCACGTCTACCCAGGGCAGCTTGCTGGGCCGGCGATCCATAACGTCGCGGACGTGGAGCAAAGAGAGCGGCAAGTTGTTTTTCTGGGGCGTCTCCTTCCCATCCTTGCTGGGGTTTTTTGAGGAGCCGGGGGTACCCGGGGACTGGGAGGCCATCTCGGAGCCCGGCCTGGCCACGAACGGTGGCGCCACGCGCCCCTGCCCCCACCTTGGGGCCCACGCGCCCTCCCTGAGCCCAGCGATACTGCCTCCTCTCGCCCCGCAGCATGGATACTCCCAGAAAAATGGGCTTCGAGTTTCTGGGCGCAAGAGGAATGAGGCCAAATGTATGAAACCGCTCGTAGGGGCTCCTGGCCAACCCACTTCACGTTAACACAACAGAGAAATGACCCATAAATTATAGAATGTACCCTGGATTAATGAAGATGCAGCTGGTAGGGGTGGGTACACACACTATATAAGGGCATGAAGGAAGTATCTCTCATAATGCTAGTGAAAAAACAAAGAAGAAAATGTCACCACTCGTCCTGGAGCAGACTCAGTGCTAGAAAATGACTGTGTGAAATTAAAACAAAAGAGCAAGGGTTGTCATCTCTGGGGTGTAGAAGAAGTGCCTTTCTTTTTTCATTTTTTACAATTGTTCTAATCATTCTATGATGTTACTTTGATAATGGGAAAAAAAAAAAACTCTTCACTCTACTTTTTCATTTTTTAAAAAATGTTTACTTGGCTAGTTTTGGCTGCATCAGGTCTTAATTGCCCCACAGTAGTGGGATCTTAGTTCCCTGACCAGGGATCAAACCCATGTTCCCTGCATTGGAAGGCAGATTCTCAACCACTGGACTAGGAGGGAAGTACCCCCTTCTCTGTTCTCTTTTAAGTTTGTTTTGTTTTGTTTTGTTTTTAACATGGACCATTATTTTAAAGTCTTTATTGAATTTGTTACGATACTGCTTTTTCTTTATAATGTTTTCTGGTCATGAGGCATGTGGGATTTTGGCTCCCTGCCCAGGAATCAAACCCACACCCCCTTACATTAGAAGGCTAAGTCTTAACCACTGGATGGCCAGGGAAGTCCCCTGCCCGCTCCTTTTCCCAAAGTCTCATCAGGGCAGATGAGACGGCCTCAGAGCAGGGATCCAGGGCTACAGTGAAAACACCTGGAGCCTGTGTGATCCCGGATGTGGGCACACACTCTTCCACTGTTGGTCCCAGTGCCTTCCTCAGATACTTCAGTGGCTTCTTCCTCAAGAGGCTGAGGCCGCCTGCCCGGATCCTGGGGCTGTGCTGCCCACTGAGCTCCTGGCTCCCAGCACCACCCATGGGAGGAGAGGAACCACACCCCCCAGGAAAACAACAAGAATGGGAAAGCGACCACCCCGCTCCCATACGATTCCTTAAGTAAGTCAGACTGTCCTTATCTGAACCTAGCTTTCTTTACCACAAAACCAGAGAAAAGCCTTCACTTTTCATTTCTTTTTTAAAAGTTTCAGGGAATGAAAAATCAAGAAGAAAATAGAAAAATGCCATTTTAATTACTGTACAGTCTGAATTTCTTCCTCTGACACTAACAGAAGTTAAAAATAGAAATCAATTTCAGCAAACTTCCAAGGCAGGCTTTGAAATGTCAAGGTTTAAAAAAAAAAATATTTCACAGCATGAATTTACATATAAATACAATCTGTACAATGTATTAACTGAGTGATCAATGAACTTCCATCCTGGAGGAGATCTGGTATTGGGACAGGCAGGGGCAGAATTCAATTACTGCCTCCTTAGTGGAAGACGCTTCAGCCTGGAAGAGGAAATAAAAGAGAGAGAGTTAGATACAAACAGAAGAACTAGCTGGTTCAGTGGGGGAGAAATATGAAAATGCCAGACCTTTCCCTGAATCAAAGTGGTACAAAATACAGAGAGTGACCCACACCATGAAAGAAAGCAGCATTTAATCTGCACTCTTTAAGATTCTGTTCCCCCCCAAAACACACAGAGAGACCCACTCCACCTCTTGTTAAGTAAGACCCATTTATAAAAGCAAGTTCTAATCCTGGTTTCACTTACCTATCTCATGTATGACCCTTGGGAGGGAACTAAAAAAACAAAAAACCATGCCTGCTCTGGGGCCAGAAGCTCCTGAGCTGCCAGTCTTCAACTCAGCTTTGAGCGCACAAGAATGTTCACGGCAGCTCTAACTCAGCAAGCAGAGCTGGGTCACCCTGACTCTAGATCCCTGCTCGACAGGCCCAGACTGGAACGCCGAAGGCCCCCAACAGCAGGAAAGAAAGATACTCTGCAGTGTATCCTATTAAGGAATACTCCACGGCAATGAGGATGAACCAGTCGTTACTAGGACAATATGGAGGAATCTCACAGGCCAGATGCAAGAGCTCCTAGCACACAGGTCCCTTAAATAAATCTCAAACACAAGCAAGAGTAGTCAGTGACGACAGAAGCCAGAACGGCTGCCTTTGGGGCTGGGGGTGGGGATCGTAAGTGAGCGGGGGTTTCTGGAGTGCTGGTTTAGTGCTTGATCTAGGTGAATTCAGCTAGTGAGAATGCATGAACGATGAGCTTATGATGTGAGTGCACTAAAGAGGGTACTCCACTGTATGATTCCAGGTCTGTGAAATTCCAGAATGGGCAAAGCTAACTTAAATGGACAAGACACAGATCAGTGTCTCCTGGGGAGAGGATGGGGTTGGGTACGGGGAGATGGGGGGCAGACTGCAGTGCCATCTAGAACTAGGCCGTACCATCACTGAAGAAATGCACGGGGCCCTTGACAAGAGTGAGACCTCAGCCAGGTGCTGGGGATGCAAGTAAGACATATGTGGTTGTGACCCTCAAAATGCCTCTTGCAGGAGGGACTTCCCTGGTGGTCCAGTGGTTAAGAACCGGCCTTGCAATGCAGGGGATGTGGGTTCGATCCCTGGGTGCAGGAACTAAGACCCCGCGTGCTGCAGAGCAACGAAGCCCCGTGCCACAACCAGAGAGTCCGTGTGCTGCAATGAGAGGTCCCGCATGCCGCAACTAAGACCCGACGCAGCCAAACAAACAAAAAGTAAATGGAGGAAAAAAGCACCCCTTGCAGGAGACAGATGCAGACAGGTAATATACAGAGTGGAGTGAGGCACAAAAGATGGACAGGCCCCCTGTCTCTCTGTGGACAGTCTAGGAGGCTTAGGGTTGAGGGGATGTGGCAACTATACCTTTAACAACCACGAGAGTAAGATTTAAATACACTTCACACCTCTGCCCCTGCCTTCCCCCCATCCCAGGCCCTGCCTCAGCGGTAAGTGCTCTCAGGAGGGTAAGAACCCCTCCAGTCCTCTTCTCTGCAAAGACGTACATGGGGAAATCCAAAGGAGTGAGGATGATAGTGCCAACTTTATACACTATTCCGTAGCTTTGGGCCTCTTATTGTTAGGATTCAGGGGCCAGTCAGCAAGCAGCCCGCGCCTTCTGACCGCTGTGCTCGGTGCACTCCACCACACCCTCCGGACGGGTGCCAAGGGGCTTCCACGTGTGCAAGTGCCTCCCTGCAGGATGACTCGTTACGTGGCTCCAAGCAGCCAAGGGTGATGATATAAGGTGTTGGTAACAGCCTCTCTGGGCCTTGCTTTCCCTGCCTGTGAACTGAGGGGACACGAGTCACAGGGTGTGTGGGGATTAAAGGAGCCCACACCCATGTGGGTGCCTCACAGTGCCCGGCCCATCAAATCAGCACTGGCACGTGCCCTGAGAAAAGGCAGACGTGAACAGCACAGCTGCTTCAGGGGGCTCTGGATTAAACTGAAATGCCCGTATCTTTGTGTGTTTGAACCATGAGAATGTCCTGTCTACTGGGAAGACATAAATGAAAAAGAACACGGGGCTGGCACTTGTCTTTCCGGAGAGCAAAATAACTATAAGGCCATAGTAATTAAAACGGAGTGGACGGGCTTCCCTGGTGGTCCAGTGGTTAAGATCTGCCTTGCAGGGGACACCAGTTCGACCCCTGGTCCAGGAAGATCCCACATGCCTCGGATCAACTAAGCCCGTACACCACAACTACTGAGCCTGTGCTCTAGAGCCTGGGAACCACGACTGCTGAGCCTATGCTCCCTAGAACCCATGCTCCAGAGAAAAGAAGCCTGTTTTGTCCCTCTTCTTCCTGGGCCCACAGCTGGACTTCCCCTACCCAGTCCTGTGGTGGACAGCAGGGTCGTCAAGCTGCCCTGGGCTATGGGCTGGGAGGGAAGAGAAGCCAGGATGTGCAAGAAGGGCCAAAACAATCTCCAGAACCATCTTCCAAGCCATTCCCCTCCTCTGAGGGTCACATGCTACAGTGGAACAGACAGGGATCCTGAGTAACTTTCTCAGTTCCATTTATGCTTCATTGGCTGAGCCCCTGGGGTTCAGGGGTTCTTTTAAATCACAGCTCGTTTACTCACTCTCATTAATATTTACAACTGGCCATCTATCTGGAGAAAGTTAAGTTGGATGCCTATACTGCTCTGTTTACAAAAAAAGGAAAATAAAACAACTCAAATAAACTAAATGAAAACAAAACTGAAAAAGCATGAGGATAGTCTACATACATATACAAAATCTTATATTAGGGAAGGCCTTTAAAAGACAAAATGTAAAACACACCACCACCACCACCAACAGAAAAAACTAGTAAAATTGAGTGTACCAAAAATTAAAGCTTCTGTTCAACAAAAGTCATATAACAGGTAACACTCTAGAACAAAAAGGATGACTATCCAGAATAATTTTTTAGTTTCTAAAAAAGTTTTTAAAAATTTTTCAATGTTAAAAAAAAAAGGGTTAGGGGGATACTTCTCTGGCACTCCAGTGGTTAAGACTCTCTGCTTCCACTGCAAGAGTCACAGGTTTGCTAATACCAGACCACCTGACCTGCCTCCTGAGAAATCTGCATGCAGGTCAAGAAGCAACAGTTAGTACTGGACATGGAACAACAGACTGGTTCCAAATCGGGAAAGGAGTAAGGAGTACGTCAAGGCTGTATACTGTCACCCTGCTTATTTAACTTATATGCAGAGTACATCATGAAAAATGCTGGACTGGATGAAGCACAAGCTGTAATCAAGATTGCCAAGAGAAATATTAATAACCTCAGATATGCAGATGACACCACTCTTATGGCAGAAAGTGAAGAAGAACTAA